GGTGTATCGGATTTTGTAATCAAAGAAAACACGATAATTTCAAGAGAAACATCAAAAGTGCTTTATTCAAAGTAATATTCATCACAAGCTACACATTTCCCTCATCTTTCAGTAATTTTTGGATAACATCCCAATAGAATTCTTATTTTCAGAGACCCAATTTTCCACTTCTTCATGTTTTGAAGTGCTGCTCAGAAAGTGTGTGTGCCATCGATCAGAACACGTGGTCATCTTTAGGAGCAAGGCCTGGTGAATTAAAAAATGGGGTTCTTCAAAAAGCTACCTCACCATTTTAAGTTCCTAACCGGGTAGTAATGCCTGAAGTATACAAGTTCTTTAGCGAAAGGTTTATCTGTCCCTTAAGCAAAAACGGTTTTCATGCACATAGGTTAACACACCTTTGAAATGCCTCTCTTCAGACCTCAGAACTGAAACCACCCTCCAGGGACACCCAATCTTGTTCACTCCGCTGTGACCCAACCCCTTCCTGGCTTTACCCCACCTTCCTGCAGCACTCCCAGTGAGCCCTTCTTAATTCCAAAGACAAAGAACCTGCAGATGCCAAGCCGAGCAGCACTTTTCTCAGTCCTTGGAGATCTTGCTTCCAGGTGTATTCTGTTTGACTCAAATGAACATTTATAAAACTTCTCCACAGGTCTAGACAGTCTTATGTCGACACAATAGGAGTTATTTTTACTCGAGGCCCAGTGCATGAAATTCATCCAAGAATGCGCTTTCCTTCCCTAGGCTGCCTGCACCCGCTTCCCTCTGGCACCAAGACCTGGGCTTCCCTTGCAGCCTCGGTTTCGTCTAGAAGGTCGTCCAGAAGGACATCCTAATTAACATATTATGCTTTTATTATTATAGTTAGTTTTGGAGGCTAGAACTCCCGAATGAAGGGCAGAGTCAGCAGGGCTGGTTTCTTCTGAGGCCTCTCTCCTTGGCTTGCAGAGGGCTGCTTTCTTGCTGTGCCCTCAAGGCGTCTGTAATGCCTCTGTGTCCAAATGTCTTCTATAAGGATACCACCCCAGATCAGAGACCACCCTAACAGCCTCACTTTAACGTGATCATCTCTTTAAAGGACCTGACCCTAAGTCAGTCATACACTGAGGTACTGGAATCAGTGCTTCGACACAGGAATTATGGGGAGGGAGGGAAAGAAGGTATAAAATTCATCCCATAACAGTCAATAGTTGCAAACAACTAAAAGCAAGTCTAACTTAAGTAAAACAAGAATTTATTGGAAATACTGATCACAGAATCTAAGGAACCCTGGAAATCTTAGGAAATCCAGGATCTTGGGAAGCCTGGGACATCAGGCTAAGAGAACAAAAGCAGCGAGTGGTAACAGGAAACCCTGTAATTCAAACAAAGGCCTACCAGCACTGGATGGGTAAGCACACATTCTTTTAATGACCTGGAAACTGAACCATTACTGGTCTTCTTTCATCCCTTTGAGGTTCAAGGCCTTAGGCTCAGATGGCAATGGTGGAGTCATAGTTTAACATTTCAATTAAGCAATAAAGGTTATGTATTCTACATATTCTCAGCATGTACAGCCAACTCTGTTTTCCTAGAGTATGTAAATAAAGTCCTATGTTTTAACCAGAGGCCCGTTGCACGAAGATTCATGCAAAAGGCCTTCCTTCCCCTGGCTGTCAGCACGGTTTCCCTCCGGCACCTGGGACCTAGGCCTTAGCTCTGCGGACCCTTCAGTCTTATCCATTCCAACCAGAGCACCACTCCTATAGCTCCCTCCACATCCACCCCTCCCCCCACACTCCTAGCAGGCATCCCGCCCCCCTGCTCCACACGTGCAAATTAACCCACCTTGGTTGTTGGGTTAATTTGTGTACTCACTACTGATTGGCTGTGGGTGTCTTGGAGGTACAGTCAATTTGCCTATTTCTCTTATATTAGTGTAGATACGTGTTTTTTTTTTTTATATATTTTTATTGATTTCAGAGAGGAAGGGAGAGGGAGAGAGATAGACATCATTGATGAGAGGGACTCATTGGTCAGCCACCTCCCACATGCCCCCCTCCCCCCGGGGATGGAGCCCACAAGCCAGGCATGTGCCGCTGGCTGGAATCGAACCCAGGATTCCAACACTCTATCCACTGAGCCACACCAGCCAGGGCAGTGTAGATACTGCTGAGAGCTGCCTGCTGTGGGGGAAAAGGACTGATAAGGGCCAGCTGTGAAGGCCCACCGGTGTCCGCTATAAAATCGCTGTAAATGTACAAATTCCTGTTCGGAGAGAGAGCGAGCACCCAAGCAATGTCAGGCCAGAAGCAGAAGCAAAGGTCGGAGGTAGAAGGGAGTTAAGAACTATGAAACAGGCAACTATTAGGAGATTCCAGATTCTCTGTACTCTCCCTTTAGTTGTTCCTGTGACTCACCAGTTTCATGATAATGACAACCAATAAAACTTATAAAAAAGGGGAGGAGCAAAGTATATCTTTGGCAGCACTAAAGAGAGGAAGTTAAAGCAAACACCCCCCGCCCCTACAGGAAGTCTTAAAGGAGAGGATCCCCAAAGACAACAATAACGAAAGATTAAAAAAGTAAATAAGTAAAAAAAGAAAAGGATGTCCATCAACCTAGCCTGGATGAAGTTCTTTTTTATTTTTTTAACTTCAGAGAGGAAAGGAAAGGGAGAAATAGAAACACCAACTATGTGAGAGAATGAGAGAGAATCACTGCTTGGCTGCCTCCTGCACACCCTACCATGGGGATCGAGCCCACAACCCAGGCATGTGCCCTTGACTGGAATTGAACCTGGGACCCTTCAGTCTGCAAGTCGATGCTCTGTCCCCTGAGCCAAACCAGCCAGGGCAAAGTAAAGTTCTTATGTAGACACAGATATAGAGATAGCGACACACACACACACACACACACACACACACACACACTTAGGATTCTTTGGCATTATCTTATGTACATAGCTAAGCATACAATCAATTGTACTAATTCAGAGGACTCATGCTCCATATGCAAATAGATGAAAAAGATTAAAAACTCTTTCTAGAAAGGCGAGTCTTGGCTCCACCATGCTTCCTAACGGAAAGTTTAAAATAATTAAAAACAGCAGCCAAGCAGTGCACGTTTTAAAAGATGGCATTTCGGTGTGTGTGAATATGAAGGGGCCCCTCACTCATCAAGTATCTTTCCTAACAGGACCTGCTTCTGTGACGTTAGTGATGGGCCTCTGAAGTCAGACCGCCCGAGTTCAACGGCTAACGCAGTGGTCGGCAAACTCATCAGTCCACAGAGACAAATATCAACAGCACAACGACTGAAATTTCTTCGGAGAGCCACATTTTTTAAACTTAAACTCCTTCTAACGCCACTTCTTCAACGTAGCTCGCCCAGGCTGTGGTATTTTGTGGAAGAGCCACACTGCAGGGGCCAAAGAGCCGCGTGTGGCTTGAGAGCCGCAGTTTGCCGACCACGGGTCTAACGTAACTTGGGGTGCAGTCCTTCCTCTGGGTTTCCTCTCATCACTAAGCGCACAGTGCTATGCGCAGGTCGGCTCTGGACTCAGCACGCACTGGGCGAAGACGGCCGAGATGTGCTCTTCCCCCTCAGACCAGGTTGGCTGACTTTCAGGTAACACCAGGGATTCTAGGAAGCTGCGGGCGCTTTCCAAAAACCTAAAAGTAATCTGAGAATTTGTCAAAGGAACTCAAAAGCCGCCTCCTCTGAGCCACCACCCCCGGCACGCTCCACATGAAAACAAGCTTTCTGCTTATCGCCTCACGTGATGTGGACACCTTCTGTTCAGCTCCGGTTTTGCATTCTTCAACTCTGTGATTTGCTTGGCACTTTCTTGTATGTTTTTATCTCTTTATTAAAATCCTCACTCTGTTCACGCGTTGTTCTCCTGACCTCAGTGATTCTTTATTAATCACCTGTCTCCATTTCATTCGTCTGTTACTGGGGTTTTAGCTTGTTCTTTTGCCGGAATACACTAGTATACTTCTCGGCAGTGAATTCATCCCATCAAAAAGGCAAAAAGCAAAGGATGGAAAATAGTGAAGGTGTCTTAAGAGACAGACCACATACGCATAATACAGGTCCCCACAGGAGAGAAAGGGGTAAACCTCATCAAATGAAATTCGTGAAAACTCCCGATATTGGGGAAGAAAAAAATATCCAAATAAGACCATTCCATAGAAAAGCACACCAAGACACATCACAATTATTATAATTATACTGGGAAAAGTTAAAGACCGGGGAGGGGGAGTTAACCAGAGAACTGACAGGGCTGTAAGCATAACCCAGGGACACAGTGAGGTGAAGGCCTGGGGTGAGGGTAGGGTGAGGTGGAGAGGGGGTCAATGGGATAAAAAAAAAGGGGGGGGGGCATGTGTAATACTCTCAACAATAAAGATAAAATGAACATTTTACTTTTCTTCAAAACCTTCCGCAGGACCTGGGTACCGGCCGTCCCAGCAGCCGGGGGTGCGGAGGAAGCCCGAGGGGGTGGCCCCAGGGGAGGTGCGGGGATGACCCCGCGGAGTGCAGAGGCGGCCCGGGGCCACTCAGGACAGGGACGGCCCAAGCGACCAACCCTTCCGCCGCCCACCGAGGCGAAGACGGACCGAGGGGTGACCCGCCCCCAGCGGAAGGGAACGCGCACGGGGGAGGACTCGCTCACCGAGCTTCCGCCTCAGGCGCGCCGCCGTCCCGGAAGTGTGGCTTGAGAGTCGTCCTTCTCCCTCGTCCAATCCCGACGCACGCCGGGCCCGCCGCGGCCGAGGCGCATGCGCACGTCCGCTTCCGGGCGCCGGCCCTCCCTCCCTTCCTCCCTCCCACAATGCTCTGCGGCGCCTACCTGTCGCAAAGGCCGCGTCGCGGCGGCGAGCGAGCGCCTCGCTTTACGTGCGGCGCGGCGGCGGCGGCGGCCCGCGTCTCCCCCTCCTGCGGCGCGCGGGGCCGGGTCCCGCACGGTGTCCAGCTGCGCCCCAGCCCGGCCGGTGCCACCCGCCTCCGCCATGCCCCCCAAGAAGCAGGCGCAGGCCGGGGGCAGCAAGAAAGCGGAGCAGAAGAAGAAGGAGAAGATCATCGAGGTGCGTGCGCCCCTCCCCCACCGCGCCGGCCCGGGGGCCGCTCCGGTCCCGGCGCCGGGCGCGGCCGGCCACGTGTCCCCTCCCGCTCGGCCCGGCGCCCGCCGCCCGCCGCGCAGGTCCTGCCCCCGAGGCCTCGCCGCGTCTCCTCGCCGTGGAGACGCGGGCGCCCCGGCCCGGCCTCCGCCTCCGCCTCGGTCCACTCGGGGCGAGCGACGCCTCCCCGCCGCCCTCCGGGGGGAACGGGCTTCGGGCTGCTGTGGGAGAGACACGCCGGCCCGGCCCGACGCGGAGGGAGGCCGGCGGGCCCTCCCCGTGGCCCAGAACCGGGGCCTCTCCCGGCCACGGGGCCTTGCGGGGCGTTTCCCGTTCCCGCCGAACGGCTTCGGGCCCGTGCAGGGGGCCTCCCCGGGCGCCGGAGCCAGGGAGCCGGGACCGCGGGGGTCCGGGTCCGGGCCCGGGCCCGCAGCGCCAGGCGCCCCGCGCGCGGGCCCTGTGCGGGCTCAGGGCCTGGCCCGCCCTGCGCCCAGGGGACGCCCTGCAGTGGGCGGCGTTGGTCTCGCGGAGAGATTCCTGGAAAGAGTCCGCACCCCCCCCCCCCCCCGTCACCCCAAAGGGTGGCTCCCCCGGTTCCCGCCGGGCGCCTCCTCACTGAAAGAAGTCTCTCCGTGTGGTTCGGGTGTAACCGGGAAAAGCCGGGCCTTTTCTTCTTCTTTTGCAAAAACATGTCCGAGTGCTGGAGAGCCTTTGCAGGGTAACTGTAGATAGTCGGTCCCCTCTTGTCGGAACGCGACCAGAATGCTTTTCCGGAGTCTGAAATGAGGCGTTTGTAAGTGGGTTGTTGTTTTTTTTAATAAGTTCTGCCGATGTGATTTAATTAGCATGTTTATGACGAGTTCTGGTGACTATGGCCACGTCCCAAGTCCGATGCGACATCTGTATTTTTTATTTTGAGTATGTGTGTGTGCGCGCAGAGAGAGGAAGGGAGGGATAGAAACACAATGATGAGAGAATCACTGATGGGCTGCCTCCTGCAGGCCCCACACTGGGGAGGTGCCCTGCCTGGGAATCACACCGTGACCTCCGGGGTCATAGGTCGGCCTCAGCCCCTGAGCCAGGCGCGGGCACCTGTGTGCTCACTGCCTGTTTGTTCCTGGGCACTAGGGGCGCCCAGGGAGGTGCTCTGACGGCACAGGGCTAAGCACCCCGGCAGGCATTCAGGGGCGGCATTCTGTCCTCGTCCTTGGCCGAGTTTGCATAGCCTGGTTGGCCGGGATGCAAAGCAGAGCTCCCTTGTCAGGGGCAGCGGCCTGAGCCAGAAGCAGGATCACCAGGAGGGAAGGGGGCTTGGTTTTAAATAAAACCCAATTCACTTCTGGGTGCTAGGCTCTCAGGGAGCCCCCTTCTCTTAGAGTGACTCCCTGTTTCTAAACTTGTGTTCGAACGACCGAGTCTGAAACACATACAGTTTCTTTCCTAACCTAACTTTTGGGATCTTACCTCCCTGTTTTTTTCTTAACCGTGATTGGGGGTTGACTGCACCTCTTCTCGGTCCCCGTCTCCCAAACCCAGGTAATGTTTAGGTAAGGTCTGTCCTAAGCCAAGAAAAGGGAGAAAGCTCTTTCCCAGAGGAGGTGCGGGTATCCCAGAGCCACCCTGTGGTATCAGAAAACTTGTCTGCCAGCTGGCGGGTAACCTACCCAGGTGTTCCTGGGACGTGGATTTTCATGGTGGAAACAAGGAGGCGGCGGAGCCAAATACACCCTCGTTACATCACCTGTCGCTTAAGAGCTAACACCTGGTGCCTGGCCCGGTTCTCATATTTGGGGAACAGAGGGAAGAGGAGCCAGGGGTCTCACACAGCACATTTCTTGCTCTGGGGTTAGCATTATCACCGGTTTTACCTGGAGGACGCAGGCACAGGATGAACAGCCTGCCAAGGTGAATTGGCAAGTGGCAGGCGAGGATTCAGAGGCAGCAGCCTGCTCCGGAGTCCGAGCGGTTCGCCTCTGTGCTGTGTCTCCTCTGGCGGTAAACCTTGTCACCCAGCCATCCCAGGCGAGTGTGAGACCACTTTACAACAAGGAAACTGGCAAAGAAGGCAGTTTGCTTAGTTCTGTTTGGGAAGAGAAAGTGAGCCGCCTGACTTCGGAGCTTCTGCTCTTAAAGCGGGTGGAATAAGGCATTTGGATATTGATAACAACCTTGCGCCATAGAGAATTATTCGCTTAAAAATGTTTGGTCAAACGTTGTATTAACTCACCCTGATGCCTTGGCAGGGCCAGACCCAGTGATTTCAAGGGCCTTCTCCAGTCCACGGCCCAACGTTCCCACTCTTCCTTAAAGCGTCCACCGGACAGCCTGCCCTCGCTAACAGCTAGAGGCCCAGGGCACACACTGTGCAAGAGCAGGCCTTCCTCCCCGGGCTGAGGCACCTGGGGCCCAGGCTTCCCTCAGCCCGGCTTCATCGGAAGGCCGCCCAATCTAATTAGCATATTACGCCTTTACTATAGACTAGAGGTCCGACACATGAAAATCGTGTCCTGGAGAGGGAGTCCCTCAGCCTGACCTGTGCCCTCCCACAGTCCAGGACCTCTCGGAAGATGTCCACCTGCTGGCTTCGGCCCACCCCGAGCCAGACATCGCTCTCGCAGTCCGGTGCTCTCTCAGCCCAGGACCCCCGCCTGTAGCGGAAGCAGAGAGGCTCCCACCGCTGCTGCACTCACCAGCCATGAGCCCAGCTTCTGGCTGAGCAATGCTCCCCTGTGGGAGTGCACTGCCACCGGGCCAGCTCCTACATTGAGCGTCTGCCCCCTGGTGATCAGTGCGTGTCATAGCAACCAGTCATTCTGCTGTTTGGTCTGTTTGCATATTAGGGTTTTATTATATAGGATTCTGTGGGAGGTTACTTAAGAATTTTTTAAGTTTCAGTAGCTACGATTACAGAGTGTGATCTATATAATAAAGAGCTGATATGCAAATGGTCTGAGGCCTTCACTTCAAATGGTAAGTAAGGACCCATCAGCAGGAGGCTGCATGTCCAGCATCAGGGACTTGTGTGAGGCCCACATCCCTGCCCTCAGCACCACCCTGGGGACATGAGGCTCATGGAGGCCCACCTCTCTGGGGTGATGGGTGACAGTGCAGAAGCCCTGTGAAGGGCACAGGCCAGGCTGGGGACCCTGAGTGCATGAATTTCGTACACCGGGCCACTAGTGATAGTATAAGGTTGCTAAGAGGATTCAATAAAGCAGGTGTCCAGGAATTTATTTTTTTGACTGCTAGGTAAATAAGTGTCCCCTCTCTCTCTGAAAGAAAGAATTTCTGCCCTAGAGAGTTCCAAGAACACGCCTTATCTCTAGTGGGATAGTCATGTGCCCACACGGGGCCACAGAAAGCACTTCCTGCTGTGGGCTGCTGTCCTGAGTGCTGCTTTCCCACAGCCAGTCCCTGCAAGGACCACTTGACTCCTGTCTCCTGTGTCAGAACCTCCCTGGCTCTGCTCTTCAGCCTGGTTTGCTGTGCTCGGCCCCCGTAGGGGCACGGGCTGGACCCCTGTGCTCTTCGCGGGCGCCGTTTGTGCAGATGCTGTCTCCAGGATCTCCTCCTTGGTCCCCTCGCGAGAGAGAGCTCGCTGTTGTAGACGGGAAGCGTGGCACTCACACCTGATGCATAGGCTTAGGAAATGCAGAATGTTGTGAAGATTGGAAGGAAAATGGTTCAGTCGTTGGGCTTGGGGCCACCCTAGTCATTGTGCCCTATCTTAGCTTATACACCTGCAGAGACTGCACTCTGAGATTCCAAGTAGAAGTGAATTTGTGTGTGTGTGTGTGTGTAGGGGGTGTGTGCTGTTCAGCCCCCTGCAGTCCTGAAGCACAGGCTGGTACACACATGCAGTGGCTTCTGCATGTTTCTGTGCTACATACTTATTACATATGAACGGGTAAAACCAAAGTTTGATTAGAGCCTTGCACATAGTGAGCGTTCCATAGTAGATACCACTGTTCCTTTTAATAGTTTTCCCAGGTGACTATGTTAATGTTCCAGGTGTAAGGAACATGTTGCTTTTTAGTTAGGAATGCTCAATTTTACTATTTCCATTTTAGCAACAACTAGGTAAGAATACTTCTCAGTAGTTTGAGTTCTTTAAATGTAATTGTTTTGAGAGGATAACCACAAAAAAAAAAAAAAAAAAAAAAAAAAAAAAAAAAAAAACCAGTCTAGAACTTAATGTATCTTATGCAGTATTTCCAAAAAATGTGTTCAAAACAGTCCATAGTTCTTCAGAGTCCAGTGAGGAAAATGCACCAGAGGCAGAGCAGGATTGAAATTGCTGCCTGCTTCTCCCCTCTGAAGGCTCTCGCTGTCTGTGCTGAGAATGAGCAGCCCCATTAGCCAAGCGTGTCCTGGACGTACTGAGGGCTCCTCATTCCAGTAGCCGCTCTGCGTTCGCCATGGGCGCGGGTGGCAGGGTGGCTGTACCCCTATTGGTGGTGGAGTCCAGGTGGCCTCTGAGTCGCATGGTGTCTTGCCTTGATGTTCAGTGTTTTCTCTGTGAGGAGCATAAGAGAGACTGTTTCCTACCCACAGGAAAGAATGGTTTCCGAGGTGACTGGAAAAGTATAATAGGTAAGAAATTACTATAAGTGGCTAAGGTATTTTATACCCTCTTTTCATTTAGGACAAGACTTTTGGTCTAAAGAACAAGAAGGGAGCAAAGCAGCAGAAGTTTATCAAGGCTGTCACTCATCAGGTTAAGTTCGGTCAGCAGAATCCACGCCAGGTACAGAATGTAAACATCTGGTTTTCTTCCCTCCCAGCTGAAGGTGTTTGGTGGTATGTTTGTGACCACAGTCCTACTGGACAGACCTCTGCATCGGTGCAGGTTGCTCAGCAGCCTCTCAGTCCCCTCGAGCCATTCTGAGACGGCTCTCACTTCGTCTGAGGCCACACTGGCTGCACATGCTCGCCCTTCACTGCTCAGTGACCACTCGGTGTCCACGGAGAGGCCCTTTCTGACTAAGAGCAGTTCTGCAGGGAGTGGCCTGTGTGTGTGTTCCCACAGGCACGTGTGCTTCTCTGTGGCACGGTGTGTTTGGAGGCATATTTCTAGATGAAGGGAAATGGGTTCCAGCTTTAATAAATGTGCTTGGTCCTTTCCACAGAGATGGCAGCACTTCAACTTTCCACTGGCAGTGCATGAGTTATAGGAACTAAGAACTAAAGATTTTTTTTAAGTAATTGTCACAGGATTTAGCAGTTTTGTTTCCTAGTTAAAAACTGATGTTAATGTTAGTGTTACAGTCACTGGGCAGTGAAAACAACTATATGAAATCAAATGTTTATGTTATACCTGGGAATATTATAGGTAGCACAGAGTGAAGCTGAAAAGAAATTAAAGAAAGATGACAAGAAGAAAGAATTGCAAGAGCTAAATGAGCTGTTCAAACCTGTAGTTGCTGCTCAAAAAATAAGTAAAGGTAAACTTTACATTTCAGAAGTATTGTTTTTATCAAATGTAGTTCATGTTTGAAACTCTTAATTTGTTTTGATTTATGTTCAGATCATAAGCTGATTATGAAAATGATACTCTCTGTCATTATCTATCAATATCTTTCTCACAATTCCTTTACATATGTGCACAGCTGTGTCATTGTACAACATTTACTCCAGCCATTAGCCCCCCAACTTAAGGCAAAATTAATGATTTAGTGCTTTGTAGCGTCCAGGCTGCGGTGGTATCCGAGGCAAACCTAGGGTCCTCTAAACAGAGCCACACTCCTGGCAGTAAACCTCCTCTTAGACTCTCCTTGGCTCCTGCTCGCTAACTGCAGCTGGACACGTGATGCGGAGTAACCTACGTGTGTATGGCTCCCCATCGCCTGTGCTCCTTTGTTGTTTTGGTTGGTTGGTTTTGTTTTTGTTTTTGTAATAAAGAAACAAAGTGTATATAAAATTCAGTAGAAGAACTCGAGGAAAAGGTCAGGAGCCTCCCATAAGTGGTGTTTTCCTCTCACCCGGTGAGAGGAATGACAAGTCAACAGAGCAGCTTATCTCCCCTAGAAGCTGTGCCCTAGGACCTGCGGAGCGAATTACCCTCCATGTGCCGTTTGCACAGGTGCCGACCCCAAGTCTGTGGTGTGCGCCTTCTTCAAGCAAGGGCAGTGCACCAAGGGGGACAAGTGCAAGTTCTCCCACGACCTCAGCCTGGAGAGGAAGGGCGAGAAGCGCAGTGTGTACATCGATGCCAGAGATGAAGAACTTGAGAAAGGTATTTTTAAAAACGTTTTCCTAAACACCAGCGTCTCTGGGTTTGTAATCACTAAGAATATTTAGTAACTTGAAGAGTATTTTGGTATTAGTAGACTGTAAAGAATAACTTGTGTTTAGTTTGTTTTCATAAAATTGGAATTTATTGCATGATGCCCTTGGATTAAGTAAATGAAGATGATTAAAAACCAGTTACTCCTTTTGGATGTGTCTCAGCTTTTCTTACAGTACTGCCTTCTCATTTGCCTGCCTGCTTAAGGTTTGGGTGAACAGTCTCACACCATTGATGCTTACCTTTGGTGTCTGAAGAAAACACATTGTCACAGGTGCTGTCAGACAGCCTCCTGTGCACGGAGACGGCAGTGTGTGTGGGAGCAGCAGATAAGGACACAGTGCTTAGTCTCCCTTTCCTTCCCTTAGATACCATGGAAAACTGGGATGAGAAAAAGCTGGAAGAAGTGGTGAACAAGAAGCACGGTGAGGCGGAAAAGAAAAAGCCCAAAACGCAAATAGTATGTTCTTTTCTTGAATTGAGTGGACTTTTCTTTAGGGACAATCTTGTGGCAAGGTGTTTGCTACTGTTTGGGGTTGTATTAAGATGGGGGGGGGGGGTGAGCTTTGTTTGGGGAATGGACACGTGTAGGCTACAGAGTTAAATTCTTGTTCAGAAGTCCCATGCGAGAGGGTGTCCCCAGCCTCCTCCTCACGTAACTGAGTTTATACGAGGGGCCTTGACAGCGGCGAAAAGCAGTGTGTTCAGGCACTCAGCACGCGCCTTTACTGAAAAGCACAGCCAGCAAGCTGGACGGCGCTCCGCTAGTCTGAGAGCGGTCGGGTGGGTCCGAGGTGGCCTACACCCTCCTCTGAGGTCTCAGCTCCTCTGCTGACTCTTGGTGAGAGGACGTCTCGGGCCCCTTTGGCCTTTCCAGGCTCACCAGAAGCACCTGCCCTTGACCTTGCTGGCCAGGGCTGTGGGCTCTTTCCTGCTTTGGGAGTGAAACGGCCCCTTTTCCTTCCTCTGCTTCCCTCCTTGGGTTGTAGCCATTGGCTCTCAAGTGTCCTTGGAGGAGGAGTGGGGGTGGTTTGCCCGCACTATTTGGCCTTGTTTTAACTTTCCTGTCTCAGTTTCCCTAGTCCTCCTGCCCGGGAATTCTGTAACAATTTTATTTAGGCTTGTTGTTTTTGTTCAGGAAAGAAATGTATATCTGATAATTTTTCCTTCTTATTTGTAAAGTTTATGACCTGAGGCTTCCGTACAGTTGCATCTTGCGCCCATTTATGTTTCTTTTTTAATTCATTTGAGAGAGAAACATCAATCAGTTGCCTTCCCCTCTTGCCCTGACTAGGAATCAAATCTGCAACCATTTGGCACACAGGACAATGCTCCAGCCCAATGAGCCACACTGGCCAGGGCCCATTTGTGTTTTAAGGGTCACTGTGCTGTGTGTTCCTTTTGTACCTTGCTCCCTCCTAAGATCTAAGAAAGTCCCTATAATTTCACGTAATTCAAATCGTGCTTATGTCATTGCTGCATGGGATTGGTTTTTAGGTCAAACCAAAGAAAAATCATTGGTTTTATTTCTTATAGCAGTTATATTTTCTCTGATTTAAAAATCAGACTTCAGATTACATTTACAAAGGCTGTGTACTTCAACATTGACCTTGGAAATGGACTGTACTGAGCTGCTGCTTGTGAATACTGTTGTCTCTGTAGGTGTGCAAGCATTTCCTTGACGCTATCGAAAACAACAAATATGGCTGGTTCTGGGTGTGCCCCGGAGGGGGCGATAATTGTATGTATCGCCATGCACTTCCTCCTGGATTCGTGTTGAAAAAAGATAAAAAGAAAGAAGAGAAAGAAGATGAGATTTCATTAGAAGATCTCATTGAAAGAGAGGTAACTAGTATCTTTTCCACCATAAAAAGAAAAGGCAGTATTTATTATGAAATTTTAATATTTACCACTTGGGGGCAACAGCATGTTGTTATGAAAGGGAAAAATAGGATCTTTCCCTGAAGTTGCCTTTTTAAGTTTCTTTATATGTAGCTCTAGCCATAATAAGCCAATTAAGACAATTTATAATTACAAAATGATTTTTATGTACTAGCCACTGAATTGCCAAATAAGTTGTTTCCATAAAATTGATATACTAGTTTTATCAGTTCATTAAAATGCTTAGTGTTCACATTGATGAATCTGAGAGGGAGGTGGAGAGATGGGCAAAGGTTAGCCAGAGAACTGACACATTTACCTGCAGGGCCTGTGGACGCCCAGGAGTGTGGTGAGGGCCTGGGCGGGTGGAGGGGCTTCTCTGTAATACCGGCAGTCATGAGTGTGAGTGTGTGTGGTGGGGGGTGTGGGTGTGTGTGCGCATTTCTTACTGTTTTTTTTTTTTTCTTAATGAAGGAGACAGAATGGGGGATTCAGGCGGTTGAACTTGAGGTGTTTGATGTTCCTGATGTCTTATTTTTCACCATTTTGCTAACCATTCCCGTTGTGTGGGAGGAGGCTCCAGGGGAAGAGGGCTGATTGAGAACACGCCAGCGGCCCGCTCTGGCTGGCACAGCAGTCAGTCTGAGTTACCCATGCAGCTCTGCGTGTGACACAGACGTGGAGATGATTGGAACACGTGCTGTAGGCGGGCATCGTACACTGTGTCTCTTACCGCCTCTGGGTAACCTACACTGTGTGACTTCTGGTATTGGGACACACACCTGTTCCTAAGTGGACGTGCTGCTGATGTCTCCGCTGGAGGGGACGCGGTGACAGGACGCGCAGGCCGGAGTCGGGGTGCTGGAGTGTGTGTCTTGGTTCCCCCACGTTGGGTGCAGCCTTCGGAGAGGCCCGTCGCCGGCTCCTTACTGGCCGTCGGCGTGGGGGCTGTCTGGCGGCGCCCAGAGGGGAGCGTGCCCAGGGGTTGCTAGTTGGTGGCCTGAGGAGCAGGCGGCATCGTGGCTCGCTCGCCGCCTCCTGGGGAGCAGGAAGGACCAGGGAGGCTGCCCTGCCGCGGTGCTCTCCACCGTTACTGCTTTCAGCATTGACTTCCCTTAAGCTCCTCGTGGCAAGTTCACTCACCTTCGTTTCACCAGGAGCCTAGTTCGGTGTGGGATAAAAGTAAACCGTTCACATGGACCGGCTCCAGAGCCGCGGGGCAGAGGCCTCCTCGCCAGAGAGAAGCATGGGGGCGGTGTGGGCGGCGGGCGGGCGGAGGGGCAGTGACTCCTCTCTCCACAGCGCGCCGCCCTGGGCCCGAACGTCACCAAGATCACGCTAGAGTCTTTCCTCGCCTGGAAGAAGAGGAAGAGACAAGAGAAGATCGACAAGCTGGAGCAGGACATGGAGAGAAGGAAAGCCGACTTCAAGGCGGGGAAGGCCTTAGTGGTATGTTCTCAGGGCCCAGGAGGCAAACGACTCCTCCTCTCGTTTACCTCAGTGCCAGGCGAGAGCTGTCCCTGCCCGGGCTAACGCCGGCGCCAGAAGTGTTTGCGGCGGCCTGAGTCCCTGTCTTTGTGTCCGAGCAGATCAGTGGTCGCGAGGTGTTTGAATTCCGTCCTGAGCTGGTTGACGATGACGACGAGGAGGCAGACGATACCCGCTACACGCAGGGAGCCGGCGGGGATGAGGTAAGAGGCCGCGGGCACCCTCTCGCTGACTGCGAGGATGGAGTGACCGTGGAGCCGGGGGTAGGAGTGCCCCCTCCGGGGCTCCGCTCTGATCCTGACTCGCCTGGGAATCCCATCCTCTCATCTCCCTCCTCGTCTCTATGGGGCAGGCGCACTCTCACAAGATGCTCATGAGAATCACAGGAGCCAGAAGTATATTTCCTTCCTAGGACGAGGGAGGTGCCTGCTTATAGTCCAGTGCTTGGGTGTTAGCTGGGAGAAGTATGTGTTGTAGTCTTCCTCTAAAGAAAAGGGGACTTTGTTTAATATTTTTACTAAAAGGAAATCATGAGACAGAAATACTAACTGAAAAAAATGTAGTCCTGGCTGGTGTCTCGGTTGGTTGGAGTGTCATCCTGGACACCAAAAGGTTGCAGGTTCAATTCCTGGTCATGGTGTGTGTATAAACGAACCGGTGTTTCCTCCTTCCTCTCTGAAAAGGGGGAGAAATGGATAAAAGAAAAATTATAAATTAAAAACCAGTGCAGAGTGGGAAGCAGGAGGCAATAGCACACTCATTTGATTGTAGGCAAGCTTAGTAATAGCAGAGAGCTGACTATCTTGTATGTTTATAAAATTCTGGCTTCTGGCTTGCAGTTGAAAGATAAATATATCGTTTTCTGTGTGTAAGAGTAGGATGTCAGAGGAAGTAGCTTTAAATATAGCATTGCTGTTTTTTCAAGAAATTTTAAAAAGTAAAGTTTGACAGTAAATCATTTGTTTTCATTTGACCCAGTAATGACTGTTTCGTTAAGGTAAAGACAGTAAGTGATGGAAAGATTCTTACATTTACATTCTTACACTCCTGTCCTTTGAAAGGTGGATGACTCCGTGAGCATCAATGACATAGATCTAAGCCTGTACATCCCGAGAGATGTGGAGGAGACGGGCATCACGGTGGCCAGTCTGGAGCGGTTCAGCACGTACACGTCCGACAAGGATGGTGAGTGTGCCAACGCGGTGACTGCACCAGGAAGCTGCCCGAAGGGGATAGACCGGGCTGACCGCCCTAGTGCCCACAGGCACCGACTGGTAGTGTGAGCGTGTGGTTGGACCGATGGTAGAAGCCCTGGGGGGAGGAGGCTGCAGAAGTGGTGCGGGAACCGAAGCAGAAGGGACAGGTATGAGTTTGGACCTCGTGTGGGGCGGACCTCCTGAGGCGGAGGTTTTGGCGTCAGCAGCGGCCCTTGGCCCTGGCTGGGTGCCTTCCTAGGTTAGCCCTCGTCCTGCACACGGAAAGGCTGGGGTTCCAATTGCCCGTCACAGCACGGGGAGGCAGCCCGTCAATCTTCCCTTCCTCTCTGAAACCAATGAACACGTCCTGGAGTGAGGATTTGTTAAAAGGAAAGGAAAAATGTAGGTGGCATTGGGGGCTCTGCCTCTTGGGAACACACCGCGCCTTTCCACCCTGCTCCTCCCTTCTCCCCCCCCCCCCCCTCCCAGCTCCAGGGCCCCTTCTTTCCTTCTGTGACTTGTCCCCACAGCCCCGCTGGCTCACGTCTGCCTCTAGTGCCCTAAGTGAAGTGTCTCTGGAGCTGGAGGGAGAGCGGCATTGATGATGACACGAAGTGGTTAGGAAGGCGTTGAGCTGAGTGAGGGAAGTGCCAGGTGCAGCCGCAGGGCGAGGACCTTCTGGAGCGCAGCATGGGGTTAGGGAGTTTCAGGGAGTCAGTGGGGCGACTGGGGAATGGCTCCTCGGTTGCCGTTCGGGAGGGGTCTGCAGTGGTGAGGAGGGAGGACGGGCATGGCCCGGCTGGGCTCTTGGGTGCGAGGAAGCCACGGCATCTGCAGGCCATGCACGGAGAGGGCCGGGAGAGGAGGAGGAGCCGGGACAAAAGCTAGAAGCACAAACAAAAGGCGTTCAGCGCAGAGGACGAGGAGGCGGGTCGGTGTCAGGGGCCGCAGCCGTCCTCACCTTCACCCGAAGGAGCCCTGCGGGGCCTGGAGAGGGGAAGGGCTGGCCGGGCGCTGTGAGTGGAAAAGGAGCAGAATGCTTACCAAGGCGGGAGGTGAGAGGAGGCTGACGCTGTCACCGTGAGGAAGGCCAGTGTGACGGGGGAGCTGGCTGCCCTCCCGGGACCCGAGCCTGCTGCCAGCAGGTGCCGGAGGCCGGTCTGTGGCAAGGGCTTCGAAGGTCATGACCCCACGGCGTGGTTGTGGGGTTCCTGCAGCCTGTGGGTCCAAGCCGGGCCATTGAGCGGTGTCAGGTCGGGGTCGGTGTTGTTGCTGAGCAAGGCCGGGCCACGTTCTTGGTTCGCAGGTGAGGACGGGCGGAGTTTCCAGCGTTGCCACCGATGGTCTGATTGCTATCCAAAGCAAAGCCAAGTGGCCACTTAGGTCAGATATATGTTGTTCAAAGATGTGTTACGTGGGTGTGGACTGTTAAACCAGCTGCTGGGCCCTGGAGGAGCAGAGTTGTGGGGGATAACCTTGCCTCCGAGGTCCGAGCCTGCCAGCACGCCCAACTCAGCTCAGCTCAGCTTGCGGTTCCTGCTGTGGTTCCTGCTGGCGTGGCCGCAGGACGGCGGGGGCAGTGCAGAGTCCCTCTGATGGTCAGTCACTAACAGCGGGGTTTTCACGCATTGCCATTGCTGTTTTTAGAAAACAAACTGAGCGAAGCCTCTGGCGGCCAGGCTGAGAACGGCGAGAGGAGCGACGTGGAGGAGGACCTCGGCGGGGAGGGCCAGGAGAATGGCGTCTGCGAGGCGGTGCCCGTGGACGAGAACCTCTTCACCGGGGAGGACCTGGACGAGCTGGAGGAGGAGCTGAGCACGCTGGACCTGGAGGAGTGACCGCCGTCCGTGGACCCTCCGCCCACCCAGCATGAGTTGAAATGGACCGCATCCATTCCTTCCACCTGGAGTCCAGGATGTCCGCCCCCGCCTGCTCTCGAGGGCTCGCGTCCTCCAGGAGACTCCTCCCTCGTCCTCCCTCCGGCGGCGGCTCCACCTCAGGAGTGCAGGTAGCGGGGCGGTGCCTCGGGACAGAGGCCGTCGTGGTCACTGCACTCCGGGCCTTGTCCTGCTCCCGCGTCTGCTGTCCTTGGCATGTGTCACTGCAGGACACAGTGCAGTGAGGGCCCTTTATTTAATGCCGTCTCGTGGTGGTTCTGTCCTCTTGTATTTATGTGTTAAGACTGCCTGGAACCTGGCATTGTGCCGACTCCTGCGGCAGCCGCAGCGCAGACTCCGTGGTGTGTTTGGACAAGTAGGTGGACCTTTAACGTGAAACTTCTTTAACCTGACCCGTCAGCTGCAGTGCCCCGTGGTGAACTGTTCTCGTCGTCTCCCTCTTTTTGCCAATAAAGTTGTAAATAAAGACCATCGTACATCAAACCCACTGTGGGCTTGTTTTTTAAGTTTTCTGGGAGAGATGTCTAGGTGTTTCTAGCTGGAGGGTGTTAACGGGATATCTTTGCCGGGACCTGTCCCCGCTCTCGTTGCTGCGTGCAGAGCTGAGGACCAGCCTTGCTCCTGCAGCTGAGGTAGCTGAGGCGCTGCACGGAGCCTGGAGGATCTGCCTGTGGTGGGCAGCTGACCGACCCCGTCTGAGTGAGCTGGGGAGGTGGGGGGTGCATGCTGGGTTTGATCATTGTAAAGGGGGTCAACAAACCCCCAAAACTCTGGCCGAGAGCCTTTGACATGGAGGCCCCTGAAACATTAGGGTAATATTCAAATGGCACGAGATACTGATGACATCTTTAGTTCTAGTTATATATTACTTTTACTCAAGTGTCTTTTCAGATGCAGGCATTTCTGTTATTTGCAAATACAAGTGGGTGCGTCGGGTGGCCAGGCCTAGAACCATTTCTGCTTAAACCTATGCACTAGCTTCCTCGTCTGCATGGAGACTTGGGGTGCTCTGAGTGTGACGCCTGAGGACAGGGATTGGGAGTCTCGGTAAATGGCGATGTCAAAGGCAGAAAAACTGCTGCGGCTCAGTTCTGCCGTTGCCACTTTGAGATGTGGCACCTGCGCTTTACTTCCCCCCACAGGGACAGCACCTGGAGTACTTCTGTGTAAAAGACTGCTCAGTTCTAGCCTGTATCTGCGAAGATTGTTCCCTTCTTTTTGTGAAAAAGTTTCAGATGTTATTTATTGCATTTTAATAATAAAGTGTTCTTAAATACCGAATGAGCTTATATCTAAAGCTAAGCTATACTCATCCACGCTTTTTTCCTGTTTTGAAACCATCTAAAACTTTTCCTAAGAATCGGCTCATAAAAGTTAGAATCCATTTACTTTAGACCTTAAATTATATGGGGTTTTTTAATGTATATAAAGTAGGCCTGTGTAAATCAAAGCATGCTAAAGGATTTTTGGTGTTTAAATTTCAAGTATCAGTACCTTTCAGCAAGCATGTGAATGCTGTATATGCTCGGAATGCAAAAGCATTTTAATCTGAGAAAGTCAAGATGAAAAAATAAATCTACCTCTAAATAACATGGGCCCCTATATTATTAATTCCGTAGGTCTGAAATTGGCTTTGTTTTTAAACATCACTTTCAAGTAGTTTTTCTTACAAATGGCTCTTTATGTACCCCCAGTGTTAGCCTAGTGGATCTCTGCAGCCCACTCCCGGCTTCGTTTGAAGGGTTTGTGGCTTAGAAGTCCAGACGCCAGGCTGTGCGCCTCCCTCAGGAGGGGAGCAGGCCTTGCACTTGCTTCCGTGTAGTCTGTAACCGGGGCATTCCCCATGCGGCCTGGGCGTCTGGTCTGGACCACATCACCCGCTCTGCTGTCTCAAACTCAGACAGGTACGGCTCAGCACGGCCCCACGTCTGCCAACATCTTTCTAATCAAAGTGAACTACAATTTTTTTCTTTATTTTAATGAAGGGGTTTTATTTTTGATTCTTCCTTTAAATTACTTTATTGATTAAGGTACTACATATGTGTCCTTATCCCCCAATTCCCCAAATTTTTAAATTTATTTTTGCACAACCAGTTTACATGATACTCTTAAGCCCACTATGGGGGAACTGACAGTGAAGTTGTACGATTGTACCATATGTTTTTAGCGCCTGAGTGAGATCAGTAACCATTGATTGGTTTAGAATGGGGTAGGAATAAAACCCCGGATACACACCACGTTTTTGTTTTTGTTGTTGTTTATTTTATTGATTTTTTACAGAGAGGGATAGTTAGAAACATCGAGGAGAGAGAATTGTTGATCAGCTGCCTCTTGCACACCCCCTACTGGGGATGTGCCATTGACCAGAATCAAACCCGGGACCTTTCAGTCCACAGGCCAAAGCTCTAGCCATTGAGCCAAACCGGTTTCGGCTACACACACCGTTTATGTATAAGCACATTTCAGAGAAATACAAGATGAAATAAGATGAACATTTCTTGGAGAAGACCAGATACTACTTACGTTCAGAAAAATAGTATTTCTTCAAAACAATATTTTTTAAACGTTTGCAGAGTATTCAGATCTTCAAAAGATGATTTTCAAATCATTTCTGGAAATTTTAGTTAAGAGAAAAAACATGAGAAGAATATAGAGAATAAGTAATTATCACCTAATCCACACCCCTCCAAAATGCCACTCGGAAAACAGGAGCAGCAGCACTGGAACTGAGGCTTTCCTGAGTGGGTTTAGCTAGGAGCATTTTAAAATTAAGAGGTGTGCTTAACACAGTAAAACCAATCATCTTGGGCTTCATTAATTCACTCGTTTATATTAGAAATTGCACCTGATCACACTTACAGGCTGTGGGCTGTCTAGAATGCGACCAGTTTATTTGACGTGAAATAAAAGAAAACATGGATTCCTCCAGGTTTTGCTAACGGGAGGGATCCCAGCTCGTTCTTCCTGGCAGAAGGGCCTGGTGTGAGTCTTCAGAAGCCTGCCCCTCTTTTCATCTTCGCTTCCCTTTGATAGCGAGGATCAGAGGACCCAGTGCAGACCAGCTGTCAGGACTCATCCCGCAGTGAGCACAAAGCCTAGGGCCTCAACGGGAGCCAAGGGCTTCGAGGCGTGGCACTCACTCCGGCTGCTGGCAGGTCCCTTCTTGTTCCGGCGTCTTTCTACCAGGTTGATGGCATGCACGGGAGCTGGCTTCTGGCTTGTGAACCGGGAAGGGGTGCCACTGTGAGAGAACAGCGTGTGGGGATTTGCTGTGCCAAGGCTGTCAGAGAGACTTTCCTTTGCCGTGGTTTCGCGTAAGAGACATCTTTCAGTTGAGCTTTATAAAATGAGTTATTTAAAAAGGATTCAGTAAGCCAAGTTCCAAAGAGCTAGGGTGATAGAACTGTCTGAATTAGTGTCTCTGATTAAACTGCTGGGTCGGCCAGTAGTGGAGCATCGACCTGTGAACCAGGAGGTCACAGTGCCATCCTAGGTCAGGGCACACGCCCAAGTTGAGGGCTTGATCCCCAGGGTGGGGCGTGTAGGAGGCAGCCGATCAGTGATTTCATCACTGATGTTTCTATCGCTCCCTCTCTTCCTCTCTGAAATCCATAAATAAGATTTGCAAATACATTCTGTCATTCCATAGGTTGTCTTTTCACTGTGCTGATTGCTTCCTTTGATGTGAAAAATGTTTTAAGTTTGCTATAATCCCACTCGTCTATTTCTGCTTTCGTTACCTGTACTTTGGTTTTATTTTAAGAAATTATCGTCCTCGCTGGTTTGGCTCAGTGGATAGAGCAACAACCTGTGGATTGAAGGGTCCTGGTTCGGATTCCAGTCAGGGCACATCCAAGGTTGTGGGCTTGATCCCCAGTAGGGAGTGTGCAAGAGGCAGCCGATCCATGATTCTCTCTCATTGATGCTACCCCCCCCTCCCTCCCTTCCTCTCTGAAATTAATAAAAATACATCTTTTTTTAAAAAAAATAAATTATTGCTAAATCTATTGTCCTGAAGTTTTTCTCCTATGTTTCAGAAGTTATAGTTTTAGTCTTTCATCCATGTCGAGTTCATTTTCTATATGGTGAAAGATACTCTCTGTTCACTGTGCACTTGGTGTCCCAGCTGTCATGCTGATCACACCTTTTCCTCGCGTCGGCCTGTGAGCTGAGCACATCGTCCCCCGTTTCAGAGGTGAGTGAGTCCCAGAGGGTTAAGATGCCCCAAGGTCACATGGCCAGCGTCAGGGCAGCATCCAGCCTCAGGCTCAAGGGCATTGCCGTCTGAATAGCTCTTTATTCCCAGGCTCAGCGAGTGCAGGGGAGGCTGCTGTGCCCACCAATAGGAGTGCCGTGGCTGTGACCTCACTGGGAGAGCATCCGCGCCTCCGGCTGCTCTCCGGGCAGCACAGCCCCCACCCGCACTGACGGGCTCAGACACGGCAGTGCTTTCAGAACGGGTGAGCCCGGGACCCAATGACGGTGCAGTTATGCTGCGAACGCACAGAGCAGCGCTGGCCGTCCGGTGAGTCCGTTTGATGGGCTCGTTGCTTAGTGTGACACTGACCTCACCGTGGCCCTGAACTTAATCGTCGGAACGACCCAAACAACAACCCCCCATGACAGCGTGCTGTCGCCACACTCATTTCCCGTGCCGCCACCTGTGTGAGGCTGGTGCCTGCTTCACACGGACAACGGTGGCTGCAGTCATTCCAGGAGGAAGGACCGGGTGACACCTGCCCGGTGGTGCCGTGTCTGCTTAGCAGAGACCTGAGTCAGTCTGACGTGGAGGGGGAAGCAGTAAGTCTCCACTTCCTCGTCTCTCTGTTAAGCATCAGCCTTTCATTTATTCAGCAAACACTGCAATACTGCGTGCAAGCTCCGTGGTGGCCCTGGGTCTCGGGGCTGAAGTTAACGCCAGCCAGCCCCGTGCCCAGGAG